GGTTTAGGTTTGACACAGGTGGTTTAGGCGGTTTGACGGGGTGTTTTGGGGGTTTGTGAGGTGATGGTTTAGGGGGGCTACAGTCGCAAGCGAAGGAGACGGCGAGGAAGCCGAGGAGGATGAAAATGAGAAAGGAGAGGTGTTGTGTTCGAGACCCCATTTTTTTAGAATAAGGGTTTGGGTTTGTGAAAATGAGTGATGAGTAAGTAGATAGATATAGGAGTGTGTAGCCTTTTATAGAAAAATAATTAACGAGATTTCTTTTATGTTTAATATTGTGAGCACCGAATTGTGATTAGATTATTGTTATTGGATTTTAACAAGCACGTACCCTTCACTTAGTTACAAAAAGAAAAGAAAGTGTTTTGTCATACTTTCCTAAATTGGCATATATTTGTAGTTGTAGATTTTTATCTTTTTGTATAGAAATTTAGGAACAGCATTCACTATTGAGCGCGAGGCCAAGATGCCACACTCTCGGAAAAAAAAAGCCAAAATGCCATGTATTAAATTTGTAATTTAATTTTGATTTTTTTTTAATAAGGAAAAACTTGGAGAATACTATCCTCTCCCTATTTGTCTTTTTATTTACACTAAAACCAGGATCAAACCCACCCAAACCCAATGACCCATGGATATCCATCCAACCTCCTTAAATATTTTCATTTATTAATTTATCCTTTTTTTTTGTTAATTCAAAATCGATTATCCCCAAATAATTACACAAATTACATCTTAAATTTACAATTAAAAAAATCTATACCTTCAACTCTCATCGATGAAGCATTTTGGCGCAAAGGGGAATTATACAAAGACGAATGTGCTGTTGTTTCACCAACGAAGAGCATTTGGAAGTGAAGCTATTCTGGGTTTTGAAATTAAAGTTTGCCAGAAATCCAGCCACGAGGGAAGTGATTTCGACTTTTGAATGAAGGAAAATTGATGAAGCATTGTTCTATATATATACATGAATTTTGGATTTGCAGAGACTAATTTAATAGCTTTGTTTTGGATTTGAAGAAAGCTTGTGTCCCTGAACTTGGTCTGGTTTTCATCTCAACAAAAAATTGGGATTTTGCGCATGAGGTAATCTCGCCGTTGTAACAATTGAGTATCAATTAGATTTGCACCTGATGATCCCCTTCTTTGCTTCGCGGCGTCTAGCTTTCCAGGATCTATCTCCGGTTCGAAGGTCTTTGAACGTCTTTGAACGTCTTTGAACGGCACAGCTCCTTAATTACACCACCGCCAAACAAGCTCTGATGACGTTTTCGAGCTTACACTTGATGCGTTCATGT